AACACTATCGAAGGCTTTGCGTAAATCCACAAAGCAAGCATATAGATAATGTTTGCCCACTTTATTTGTATATTTGTTAATTAATGATTTCAGAATATAGACATTGTCTGTAGTTTGATGATTTTTTCTAAAACCGAATTGAGTATCTTGAAAGATACATATGTAATGAAAACAATAATCATTGTGAACTTGAGGTATCTGATGTTGAATGGAACTGTGATTTAAGAACATTGTGGTAACAATAACCATGGATCAAAGAAAGCTTAGAAAGAACATATATTGGAGTCAATGTGATATATAGTGCAAGTTGTAGACCAGCACACCAGTGTTAAACATCTCTAAATCCAATATGGAGACTGCGGCCAATATCTTATTGTTTAATTAGTATCAATATGTGGAGTGTTAAGGTAGAGATGCAGGTAGGGAGACTATATTTCTAATTGGCTCAAATTACTGTAATTACATGAGTAAAATATACTTTTACCCATCAAGTTATATATCCTTTGAAAGAGTTTTATTTAAACTTTGGAGTGTTATGCTTTACAATAATGTACTATGATAACCATATTAAGTGGTGTTGACTTTGGGTTAAAATCATGCATTTTAGGTGAAAGTGTACTTAAAACTATTTAACTTTTGAATGCATACCCTGATTTTAATTTAAAATCAAAGAAAGCTTAGAAAGAACTCCCGTGTGCTGAGAGTTTTGGAGACACATTAAAAATTAATTCAAAATTACTTATACTTGAGATATTGATGGAATAGCTGAAAACTAATTATGCAAATAAGGTAACTAACATGAACAGATTTAAGTGTAAAACTAAAAGTCTGCACAATGTACCAAGTTTCATTGAAATGTGATTAGAACCAAAAAAATATTAATTATTATGCTAATTAGAGAATTAATATGAACAGATTTTAACCCAAAATTAATCAGGCTGTCTATTGTCCTAGAGCATTTATGTACCAAGTTTTATTCAAATGCGATGATCAATACTTGAGATATCAGTATTAATTAATTATGTTAATTAGGTGATTAAGAAGCATAAATATTTACCAAAAACTAATATGGTGCATAGTCTGAGGTTCATTGAAATGTGATGGGTACTCTTTAAAAGTTTCATTGAAATCCAATGAGTGGTTTTTAGACATCAGTGCAACAGCCATAGAACAGCAAAAAATTAACTAATTATGCAAATTAGGTAATTAATAGGCACAATTATTTATCCCAAAATTAATCAGGTCTCTGCATAGTCCTAGAAAAAATGTCGCAATTCTCATTGAAATGTGATGATTAGTACTTGAGATATCAGGTGAAAAGCTGAAAATTGACTAATTATGCTAATAAGGTGATTAATATGCACAAATATTTTACCCAAAAACTAATTAGGTCTCTGCACAGTCCTCAAGTAACTATGTACCAAGTTTCATTGAAACGTGATCATTACTACTCGAAATATCAAAAGCTGAAAATTACCTTACATTTCCACTGACATCGATGAACTTAATGATCCTAACTATGGGGATCATAACGCTAATAACGAACGATATAAACATCTATCAACCCTACAAATGAGTTTCTGGAAACGGTGGTCAACTGAATACCTAACTGCACTCCGAGAAAGACATCAAACGACTATTTCCGGGGTAAGAGATAATATTATACAAGTTGGTGATGTCGTTCTCGTTCATAATGACATTGATAAACGCGTACGATGGAAATTAGCTACTGTTATAAAACTTGTGTATGGAAATGATGGCCTAGTGAGATCAGCAGAAATAAAAACCTCATCTGGTATGACAAATCGTCCTATCCACAAACTGTATCCACTTGAGGTGAAGACACCCACTCCTTCAGATGAAGAGAGTCCACCACGAGACACAGAACCACTCTCGTTGTCACATGGAGGTGAAAATAGAGATGACACAACGCAACAAAGTGATACTGATGCTAGACATTCTCGCCCAAAACGACGGGCTGCCACTGCGGCTAGACATTTTATACAAGATCGTCTCAAGGACTTGTGATTATACCCTGAAATTGTTTATCGGATATTGCCTGCCAATGTCTTGGATTAATTGCCGTTAATTGGTTGAACATTATGAAATATATTGACTTTTTGTTCTCAGTTGTTTACCTATGCGAGTAATATTTGAACACATTACATCGTGACATTTTATTATCATGATAGATATATTTTCTAAAAACTTTAATGTTAACTTTGATTCGAAATGTTTGATTATTCAACTCTTATTACATGTTGTCTTCTATGATCATTGATAGCGTTGATTTAATACATCATTGCCTCGTATTTGTTAATATGACGTGTTAGTCGATATTTTTTTCGTGGCCGGGAGAATGTCGGAAATAGATATGGATAGAATTATTATTTACTATTTTTACTGATATTGTGTATCGTGTTATATTATTATACTGTTATATACATCGTTTGTACCGCCTAAAGCTTGAATGTAACAAAACGGGATACGACCTTGAACACTGTGCTATGAGCGAACGTGAGAGGCAACATCACAGTATTGTATATTTGTATCTAGTTTTCCCGCTCGAATTCAGATCCTCACGAGGGTATTTAA